TTCAAGTAGCAAAATATCCAGTTGCTTTTCTAATTAATAGATCAATTTGCTTATAAAAGTTTCTTTGTGCCAGGCATTTGGTGGCTCACTCCTGTAATCCTAGCTACTCAGGAGGCTGAAATCTGAGGATCACAGTTCAGAGCAAGCCTGGGCAGGAAAGTCTGGGAGATTCTTCTCTCCAATAAACTACTCAGAAAACTGGAAGTGGTGCTGTGGCTCAAGTGGTAGTCTTGAGCTGAAGAGCTGAGGGACAGCACTCAGGCCCAGAATTCAAGCCCCATGACCAACAACAACAAAAAAGTTTCTTTGTTATTTATTATTTCTGTAGCAGGTAACTCCAATTTGGGAAGTCAGAAATAGATATATAGATATATAGTAATTGTCAATGTTTTGATTTCTGTCAATACACTACTACTTTGCCTATTGTTGCTTTTGTTTCTACAATGTTAGTATCAACACACAACATTTATTTTTATTTTTATTTTCATTTTGTCAGTCATGGGGCTTGAACTCTGTGCCTGGGCGCTGTCCCTCAGCTCCTCAGCTTAAGGCAAGCACTCTACCACTAAGCCACCATCCCAGCCCAAACACACAACTACTTAATAGCATTATAAGGGACATATAACTAAAATAAATTTATTTCCCTTTATGAAAATGTGTAATTTAAAATTTTGTGAAAATAACAGTCATCATCTCCAATGGATAGCTTTTAGTAACATTTACCAAACATACTAATCAGCTACTGAATGACAGACTTCTACATGAATGTGATTATTTACTATCAATTCATAGAATTGATACACTTTGTATTAGAGGAGCAATTTGTTAAATGACTGCTGATAGTAGAATTGGTGATGTTGGTATAATTTTTATTTTATTTACTATTATTACTTTTTGTTGGTTGTGGGTCTTGAACTCAGGCCTGTGTATTGTCCCTGAGCTTTTTGCTCTAGGCTAGCATTCTGCCACTTAGAGCCAAGCTCCACTTCTGGTTTTTAGGTGGTTAATTGGAGATCCGGGCTTTGAACTGTGATCCTCAGATCTCAGCCTCCTGAGGGAGGATTACATGTGTGAGCCACCAGTGCTGGTGATTTTATGAGTTTTTTAATTCAAGCTCAAACACCTTCCTTTTGATTATGGGACTCATTTTAGAAAATAAAAGGGAGTTTATTGCAAAAAAGTAACAAGATATTTTTTTCTGTGTTATTTTTATTTATTTATTTATTTATTTATTTTGGTCGGTCATGGGGCTTGAACTCTGGGCCTGGGCGCTGTCCCTCAGCTCTTCAGCTCAAGGTGAGTGCTCTACCACTTGAGCTACAGTGCCACTTCCGGTTTTCTGGTGGTTTATTGGAGATAGGAGTCTCACGGTCTCTCCTGCCCGGGCTGGCTTTGAACCGCGATCCTCAGATCTCAGCCTCCTGAGTAGCTAGGATTACAGGCGTGAGCCACCAGCGCCCGGCTCTCTATGTTATTTTTAAAGATTTAAAAGCTAGCATCATCTAGTTGTATAGGGAATTTCATTTTAACATGTCCATGCATCTTGATCTAAGCCATCCCTCCTATTATTTGCCACTACCACTCCTACCTTCCAAAACAGTCCCATCAAGTTACCTTGTTCCAATTTCATGCCTATACATAATGCATTTTGGCTATACATAATGAGTTTTGTCATTTGTTCTCCTTTGAAAGACATTTATGATTTTATTGTAAGCCTGTTTAACTCCCTAGTTGTACCCAAATAGTTTAAGCCAAAGTTAGATACCTGTTAACATTTATTCTCCCTAAAATAACAGATTTTATATGTTTTAGTCTCTACTTTTATACTTCCACTGATTATTAAAGACTACAAAAGTTTCATTTATATGGTTTAATCTACTTGAAATCTATTTGTTTACATTTTAGGAATTTTAAAAATACTTATTTTAAATAAAAACTTTGTTTGTGGTCATTTGGTAACAAGGCCATACTAAAGCTACCAGTACAACTATGTTCATTGCAGCATTATTTACCATAGCTAAGACACGGAATCAACCCAGGTGCCACTCAGTGAATAAACGGACCAAGAAAATGTGGTATATATACACAATGGAATTTTATGCTTCCATCAGAAAGAATGGCATTGCCCCATTTGTAAGGAAATGTAAAGACTTGGAAAAAGTCATTTTAAGTAAGCCAGACCCAAAAGAAACATAGGCTTCCTGTTTTCCCTCATTATTAATAATTTGTATGTCTGGGATAGTTCTAGCAGAGGATCACAGTAGCTCAATAGATATGTACATATGACCTTATAAAATGATGTTAATCAAAATGAACTACAATATATGGAAACAGGAGGGTCCTCCCCCTTAGTGTGCTGTTTGAAGTAATTTCTTTTCTCCTTCATTGTTTTCCTCTTTGGCTTATCCCCTGTTGTCACTGTTTTGATTTTGGTACCCTGTGTCTTGTACTTATATTTACCTGATTTGGGGAAGTGAAGGGGAATAATGAAATGGTGAGACAAAAGACAAAGGGTGAACCAATGCAACTGTGATACTCATAAGACACTATGTTGGAAATGAACTTTACAGCTTGGTCAGGAGGGGAGTCTGGGCCAGGAGGAAGGGATAGCAGGAGAAAATGGGGGAGAGGGTAACAATGTTTGACAAAAATTATACTCATTTCCTTACTTATGTAACTGTATTCCCTCTGTATGTCACCTTTAAATAAAAATAAATAAAAATCATTAGATACGAACACAAGTACTGTGTTTTTATGAAATGTATTTTCGTACATTGAGAGAAAACAGGTACTGTTTCATATTTTGTAAATATAAATATTTAGCTTATGGGAGAGAAAAGATAAGCAAAGAGTATTTGGTAGCATTGTAGAGAGTTAAGGGTATTTCTTTCAATACTGTGCTAGTACTCAACAAATAGTAATTTCTTTTCTTTTTTAATTTTTTATTGTGAAAATACTGTACAGAGGGATTACAATTACATGGGCAAGGTAATGAGTACATTTCTTATCAACCATTGTTGCCTCCTCCTTTGTTTCCCCTTCCCATCCCTTCCCATCTCCTCCCCGCCCCCCCCCCCCCCAAACTTTTTTTGCTGTTGTTGTTGGTTGTGGGATCTGAACTCTGGGCCTGGGCGCTCAAAAGCTATTAAGAATGGTTTTAGAACAAAGGAGAGGAGCTAGCAATTGTTTGATTTGGAGTAACTAGAATAATGGGGAACTTTCAAAGACCATTTGGTAGGAAAAAAAAGATATTTAAGTGCTCAGTAAATATTTAAGTGAATTATTAAAAATAAAATTGTAATAAAAATTTCATTTAAGCCTTTCTTGCGGTTCTTTTCAATATTCTTTATGGCATCTACTTAAATTCATATGGTAAACTTTCATTATCCAGGTAGAATCATTAAATCTTACCATTCTAATGTCTATAGACAAAAACATGGAAGGACAGATTTTGGAAAAGGTCTATATAAGAAGGGGAAAACATGTCAAAAGAGTAGGTAATAATCATAAATACTGTTTATATCCACTAAACTATGTGCCAGGGGCTATTCTAAATGCAAACATTCTTAACTTGTGTACTTATCAGGTAGATATTAGTCTTCTCTTTAGATAGATAAGGAAACAAATCTTGATAGGGTAAGTAACTAATTATTAAGCAGAGTGATAAAAAGGAAGGCAATCTGGCACAGAGGGTTGATATATTGGCAAACCCATTCCTGTTTCTTTTGTATCTATACTGAGCAATACTGTTTATCAAGATACCTTTTTTTAAAAAAAACATTTTAAAAATAGACTTTAAAGCTGGGCGCCTGTGGCTCACGCCTGTAATCCTAGCTACTCAGGAGGCTGAGCTAGTCCAGGCAGGAAAGTCTGTGAGACTTTTATCTCCAATAAACCACTAGAAAACCAGAAGTGGCACTGTGCCTCAGGAGGCAGAGAGCTCGCCTTGAGCTGAAGAGCACAGGGACAGCACCCAAGCCCAAGTTGAAGCCCCATGGCTGACCAAAAAAAAAAAAAAAAGACTTTATTTTTTGAAACTTGATGAGAAACTTTAATAGGGATTATAAAATTAGATATCCAGTAGAACAGCCAATATTCAAAAAGTATTTAACGTCATTACTCAACTGCTTTCCATAAGTTTTGACAGATTTCATTTTCATTTTGTTGGTTTAAAAAAATGTTTCTCTTGAATTTTTGTTTTTCACTCACATGTCATTTAGAGGTACATTGTTTAACTTTTAAGTATTTGTAATTTTGAGCTCTGGGTTACTGATTTCAAATTTAATTCCATTATGATCTGAGTGCAAACATTATATGACCTTTATTCTTTGAAAGTTATTAAAATATGCTTTATCATCCAGAATGTATTCTCTGTTGATGAATAAAATGTCTTTTTCATTGTAATGAATCAAAGCTTCCTGAGATTGTTGAGAAAGTTTCTAGAATAATTTTTTTAAATCAATGATACATATTGTTTGCATTATATCCTATTTTTCTCATAATAGAATTAAAGTACTTTAAAGTATTGTTGTCCCTATATATGACAATGTAAGGTCTCAGAAATGTCAAAGAATGGGGGCTGGGAAGGTGGGTCAGTGGTAGAGTGGTTGCCTTGCATGCATGAGGCCCTGGGTTCAATTCCTCAGCACCACATAAGCAAAAAGAAAAAAGCCGGAAGTGGCGCTATGGCTCAAGTGGGAGAGTGCTAGCCTTGAGCTGAAGAGCTGAGGGACAGTAGGCCCAGAGTTCAGGCCTTACGACCGGACCCCCCCCAGCCCCCCCCCCCCAAAAAAAAAGAAATGTCAAAGATTGGCTTCTATGGAACATCTTGATTGGTAAAAAAATTTTTACATTATAAATCTGTACATGAATTTGTTTTCAGTGTTCGTTGATGTGGTATACCATATGAGCTCAGTTTTAAATATAGAGAAGCATTTATTAAGGAATAATAACTTTTATCTTACTTTTAAAATGTAACAACTGTTTTCTTTCCCATTTAGTTTTGTCAGCCTGGTGGATGGCAGCTGTCCAAAGAGAGGAAACAGCCAACATTCTTTGTGGTGGTCTTAACAGATATTGACTCAGATCGACATTACTGTTCGTGCCTAACCTTCTATGAGGCAGAGATCAATCTTCAGGTACAAAATCTTTTCTATCCAAAGGATAATCATAGGGATAGTATTTAGGAAACTTTATGCCACACTTGGCTTTTGTTAAAAATGCAAATCTGAGTTTTATGGGCTTCTTTTTATTTTATTTTATTTTATTTTTGGGTCCGGTCATGGGGCCTGAACTCTGGGCCTGGGCACTGTCCCTCAGCTCTTCAGCTCAAGGCTAGCGCTCTACCACTTGAGCCACAGCGCCACTTCCGGCTTTTTTCTTTTTGCTTATGTGGTGCTGAGGAATCGAACCCAGGGCCTCAGGAATGCAAGGCAAGCGCTCTACCACGGAGCCACCTTCCCAGCCCTGGGCTTCTTTTTAAAACGCATACGGCACCTAGGTTTTTGTGTTTAATATTGAATGGAGAAGTAAAGCAATAAGGTAAAGTAGCTAACACTCCTACTTTGAATCACTGTTTTAAATTTTTTTTTCTTTTTGCTCAGATATTTTCCCATTTGTCATTTTAAGTGGACCAAAATATAATTAATTTAGTTTTTATAGTCAGATTAAAAATGTTTAATATCTACTCCATATGACTTTTAAAGGATTCTCAAATGCGTAGAAGTCGTGGGAACTCTGGCTATTTTATACTTATGTACTAGGTACTAACTAAAATTGTAAGACTAAAATTGGTCAGTTGCTGGGCTTGAACTCTGGGTTTGGGTGCTGCCCCTCAGCTCTTCAGCTCAAGGCTAGCGCTCTACCACTTGAACTACAGCGCCACTTCCAGTTTTCTGGTGGTTTATTGGAGATGAGTTTCACGGACTTTCCTGCCCTGGCTGGCTTTGAACCGCAATCCTCAGATCTCAGCCCTCTGAATAGCTAGGATTTCAGGCGTGAGCCACCAGGATCCTTTTACTGGAAACAAAAGTCCCTTTGCATTTGTTCCAGAATGAGTACAAGCAGTTAGGTAGAATATGAAAAAGAATAAAATCCCCTCAAAATGTTCCTTTCTAGGTCATTAGTAAGGTTGTTTTTATTTTTGGCATGAGTTTAGTTATGTCCTTTTTAAAAAATGTGTTTTTTATTTTTGGATCATATCATCAGTTCAAAATAGATTGTTAATTCTCATTTGGTGTGAATTACTTCATACCAAATGTACTATGACACATTATTTGGAATCCTGAAGAGGAGAATTTAGGGACACACACCATCTGAAGTAAATTGTGCAACTTTAAAAATTTTGACTCTGTTACCTTTTCCAAGATACAGTAACACTGTCAGTAATTACAAGCAAATTTTGGCATAAACTTTTTGATAACATGTCTTCAAATTATTCATCTAGGCAGTATGATCCCAGATTATTTAAGTAGTCAGTGATATATGAAGATTTGATGTTGATTTTTTTTTTTTTTTTTTTTTTTTGTGATCCAGTTATGGGGCCTGAACTCTGGGCCTGGGTGCTAGCCTTGAGCTGAAGAGCTGAGCCACAGCACCACTTCTGGCTTTTTTTTTTCTGCTTATGTAGTGCTGAGGAATCGAACCCAGGGTCTCATGCATGCAAGGCAAGCACTCTACCACTAAGCCACCTTCCCAGCCCTGATGTTGATTTTTATAACTTACAAAATATATAACAAGTGTTATTTGTTTTCCTTAACATATTTAAAAGTTATTTAATATGTATACTTAATTCTTAACTGGTGATAATTCATGCAATTCTTAATGAAGAATATATCAGCAAATTAATTGCTTCAGTGAAAGGGGTATGTGCTGCTAGTGAGGGAAGATGACGAGACATTGAAGGCATAAAAAATATTTCTTCTCATCAGATATAAAATTTAGGTCAGAAAGCAAACCTTTAAGTACAGAAACATTCCACATTACTATATGCTGAGTATTCTCCAGTGAAATACATAACGAATACAGATTGGACAACTGAAGTAAGTCTTAAAAGATTGAGTGAACAATTTACAAATGAAGATTGGAGACTCAGGAAAGAAAAAGGACAATTTGCAAAAACTCAGAGATAAGGGAAATAGATGTTAGAATTTCAGATAAATTAAAGATGTATCATGCTCATAACACTTTAATCCATTTTATTTATTTCATAGACGTTTGTGTTGGGTCTTATAAGATCACTATTTGCTAGTTTTAACAGTACTATTTTACAGATGAGGCTAAGAGATTTACTCAATGTCAGGCACTAAGTTGACACATTTGACTATATCTCCAAAGACTAAGTACTAAAATATATGGTATTGAAAATGATATTATTGATTCAAGAATAAGAGCTATTTTTTTCTGTTTTTGTCGGTCATTGGGCTTGAACCCTGGGCCTGGGCGCTGTCCCAAGCTCTTCAGCTCAAGGCAAGCACTCTACCACTTGAGCCACAGTGCCACTTCTGGTTTCCTGAGCAGTTTATAGGAGATAGGAGTCTCAGGGACTTTCCTGCTTGGCTGGCTTTAAATTGTGATCCTCAGATCTCAGCTTCCTTAGTAGCTAGGATTACAGGCATGAGCCATCAGTGCCCAACTAAGAATAAGAGCTATGTGGGGATAAAAAAAAGATAGGCCTTAGGCAGATCCCAGTGCATATGAAATTAGTATCCTGTAATGAAATATTACAAAATTCATGGAATATATACATTTTATAGTAAGCGGTATGTCGCTATATATATAGCACACACTGGCTTTAAACCCTCAGTCTTCCAACCTCAGCCTCTAACTTCTAGGATTGTATCATACTTTATGAATCTATATATTTCAACAGATATTAATTGGTGGGCTATTTGAGAAAACAGTAAATTTAAACATTCATAATATACACAATTAATTTCAAATGATTAAAGAATTACTTGGAAAATTGAAGCAATGAAAATAGGATTTTTTTTTTTTAATGGTCGTGGGGCCCAAACTCTGGGCCTGGACACTATCCCTTAGCTCTTCAGCTCAAGGCTAGCACTTTACCACTTGAGCCATAGCACTACTTCTGGCTTTTTCTGCTTATGTGGTGCTGAGGAATGTAACCCAGGCCTCATGCATACCAGGCAAGCACTCTACCCCTGAGCCACCTTCCCAGCCCTGAAAATAGGATTTTTAAACTGATCTTTAGATGGAAAAACTTGGAGCAGGGGAAGAATATCTTACAGAGTTATCCAATATACAACTCATTCATTTTTCCCCTCTCTGTACTCATTATAGCAAATTTAGAACATATAAAGAGAAAAATAAGAGGATGGAGAAACAAATTAACTTTTCCTTCCAATAATAAGGATTTTATTCTAATAGCTGTAACATAATTCACCCTGTGAAGTATATTTAACATTATACTTGATTGTATTCTAGAGACTAATTCTTAGGCCTTACTCAGCAAAATCTAGAGATAGCTAACACACACCTGGGTGCTGGTGGTTCACACCTGAAATCCTAACTACTGAGGAGGCTGAGATCTGAAGATTGCAGTTTGAAGCTAGCCTAGGCAGGAAAGTCTGAAACTCTATTATCCAGTTAACCAACACAGCTCCCCTTTGGGCCTTTTTGGTGGTTAATTGGAGATCAGAGTCTCACAAACTTTTCTGCCTCAGCTGACTTTGGACCACAGCCCCACATCTCAGGACTGCAGGCTTAATCTACCAGCATCTGGTTATATCTGTTTTCAAATATAAATATTTTAGTATTCATGGTAGATATACTTTAAAATTTCTACCCAAATTGTGACCCACAGAATGCTATTCCAAGTCATTTTATGAGCATATTGTCCTTTCTTAGATGAATGTGCATTATAGAATATACTTGTTTATAACAAAAGCTCTGATTTCCTTAATGAATGTGTGAATATACCATATTTCATAGTCATAAGGTTTTATAACATATTCTTTAAGAAAATTAAGATTAAATCTTGATATTTGAGACTAGTTTTTATAAATTTCTCCATCAGTAATCAGAGAAATGCATTTTATTTAACATAAGAACTAGTAAACTTCACCTGCAAGATCTTATAGCTAATCAAACAATATTAATGTTTTTGCTTAGAAAATATTAATTTCATTGTTTTTATACTAATTTTACCAGGCAATGAAAATGAAATTTAAGTAGTTTGTTGATTATGATAGTTTGCCAAATAATGATCTTCAGTTTATGAGAAATAATTTTGAGATGGTTAACTTCGTTAGAAAGGGAAAAAAATCTTCTATGCTCTTTGCCCATTTCTCACAGAAGTTTGTACTTAGTTTTCTTTTTCTCAAAAAATAATAATTAGCTTAATTGTACTCTAATTTTGTTATTTCAAAGTTGATTTTTTTCTTTTTTTGACTGGCCATGGAGCTTGAACTCAGGGCCTGGGTGCTATTCCTGAATTCTTTTTGTTTAAGACTAGCACTCTACCACTTTGATACATTTGAACCATGATTCTTAGGTCTCAGACTCCTGACTAGCTAGGGTTACAAGTGTGAGCCACCAGCACCCAGCCTCAAAGGTAATTTTAAATGTTCTTAATAATTTTATAAAATAAGCCAATGAATTCTTAAGTAATCTATATTTGATGAGTTAGTTATGTTTTGGGGTTAATGATGAGCAGAAACTTTTCTCAGTGCCAGTATCCATATTTCTCAGTATATAATGATTGATTCATTAATTCAGATTAATCTATTAGATATTAATAGGACAGTAAAAGATATTTTTTGTTTGTTTGTTTGTTTTTTTGGGGGGGTCCAGTCGTGGGGCCTGAACTCTGGGCCTGGGCGCTGTCCCTCAGCTTTTCAGCTCAAGGCTAGCGCTCTACCACTTGAGCCACAGCACCACTTCCAGTTTTTTTCTTTTTGCTTATGTGGTGCTGAGGAATTGAACCCAGGGCCTCAGGCATGCAAGGCAAGCGCTCTACCACTGAGCCACCTTCCCAGCCCCAGTAAAAGATATTTTAAAGAAATTATTTAGTAACAATAATTGAGATAAAACATGCAAAAGCATTTAAAAATCAACATTATCATATACTTCTTTTTTTTATTGTGAAAATACTGTACAGAGGGGTCACAATTACATG